CAATATTATGGTTACTTAGAGAGTTGGAATAATCAGAAATAGTAATAAACAGAAACTGCTAGTTCAGTCAGTTGATTCTTTTTGTGAATCATGACACTAATGGATAATGCTGAACAACCTCGAATTAATCAAAAATAATTATGAAAAATTATGATGGAAATATTTCACTTATTGGATAGTTGGAATGATCAAAAACAGTAATGATTGGAAGCACTAATTTCAATTAGTTGATTATTTTTATAATATTAATCAGTTTAATCATAGTTTTGATTACTAAATAGTTGGAATAATTGAAAATGGTAATAAAAACTAGTTGATTATTTTCTTGGCAATAATCAGTATAATTGGTGCTTATAGATAGTTTTTATATCATTTGAATTAGTCATCCAGCCCTGATAGTAGCATATTATGTTGCTATGTTACATACCGGATTTTATTTCATTATGAATTGTAAATTTAAAACAAAAATCAAATTTCAGTTTACAATTGTTCAATAGTTACCTTTTATGTGTGAAATATCTTTGTTTTATATATGCAATGTTTATATATTGTTATTTTTTATGAATGCAAATGTAGAAATAACAATATGAGGCCTGTGAGAAAAGTATCTGACCTTTGGCCGGGGAATAAAAACTGGCATACCTGGAGCGTTGGAAACCTAATCACCCTCAAAGTAGTCTCCTTGGGACTCCACACACTTCTCCCAGCAGTGCCACCATTGTTGGAAGCATTCCGAGAAAGCCTCTTTCGAAATGGAGTTTAGCTCGGCTGTCGTTGCAGCCATAATGTTCTCTCTTGTCTGAAATCGCGTTCCTTTCAATGGCCTCTTGAGTTTGGGGAACAGCCAGAAGTCGTAAGGAGCCATATCAGGAGAGTAAGGAGCCTGTTGAACCACAGGAGTCTGGTTTTTCGCCAACAAAATCTGAATCAAGTGCGAGGAATGTGCTGGAGCATTGTCGTGATGGAGGCGCCAATTTCCTGTTAACCACAACTCCGGTCTCTTGCGCCGCACAGCATCACGTAGGCGACGGAGGACATCCCTGTAGTACTCTTTGGTGATTGTTTGACCCTGTGGTGCGTACTCGTGGTGTACCACACCGCGGGAGTCAAAGAAAACAGTCAGCATCACTTTGACGTTGCTGCGCACTTGGCAGGCTTTCTTTGGTCTTGGTGACGTGGAATGCTTCCACTGTGACGACTGGGATTTGGTTTCCGGGTCGTACTCGTACACCCAAGACTCGTCACCAGTGATTATGGTGTTCATGAAGTCGGGGTCACTGTTTGTGGAGTCCAGCATGTCCTGTGAGACTTCAACACGAAGTTCCTTTTGCTCCGCCGTAAGCAGCTTCGGCACGAATTTCACCGCCACTCTCTTCATAGCCAAATCTTCGGTCATAATGGAATGTGCCGAAAAAGTGCTGATGCCCACCTCTTTCGCAATTTCTCGGATAGTCACACGACGGTTCCGCATCACCATAGCGTTCACTTTGGCAATGACCTGGTCATTTCGGCATGTTGATGGCCGACCGGAGCGTGGCTTGCTCTCCACCGTTGTGCGGCCGTCTTTAAACCGGTTGTACCACTCCTTAATCTGTGTGATGCCCATAGCATCGTCACCGAAAGCCATCTGAATCTTCCGAATGGTTTCCACCTGGCTGTTGCCCAGTTTCTGGCAAAATTTG